GGAGTAAAAAAGTGGCTCCCGGGGTCAGAGGGGAGCCAGCAGCCCTGGTCCTTGATTGGCTCATCCTTATGCAAATGAGGATCCCCAAAACCTCACCCTCTGATTGATCTAGAAAGCACTATCATGATGGGTCAGAATGGAGCTGTTCTGCAGGCTGGTGGAGTGAAGATGCTAAGGGGGATATAGCTGCACAGCTCTGATCTGACAAAAAAAGTTTTGGTCCTATTTTTTGAAATACAATTCCAGGCACTTTTATAAAGGTTGGCTCAGCCTCATACTAATGATTTTCCCTGAAAGGCTGTTCATGTGAGAGGCCCCAGTTTAGACACAGTTGCTAGGCTGTGCTTTTAAATTTGAGCCCAGTTTGCCACAGGAGCCCCTTTTGGTAAGTAAATTCTTTCTTGGGGTCAACACTTCTCAAAGCCTAGCACAAAGCCATGAAAGGAAAGAAGGGAAAGAAGGGAGGGAGGAAAAAAGGCTATTTCTTGACTTGTCTTAAAAGGTGCAAATTTGGAGACAGCCATTACAACTGTTGACCCTCTTAAAGGATCATGGTTCTGACCCTGAAGCAGGGTGGCAAATGTGACAAAAGCTTCCCTGCACCCATGCCCCACAAAAAAGTGACCCACAAAAAATAAACAACACAGGCACAAAAACTCTCTTGATGTTGCCAGCAGACAACCAATCCCTGTGTCTTTAGACCCTTTCATTGTTCAGAGCATTCAGTTCAATTACAAATAGCCTTGCAGGAAGTTGTAATACTACTTGACAAGCGCTTGCCTGGATTGGATTTAGTTTATCATGATTGCCTCAGGTCTGAAGAGGCCTACTCTCCATGTAGCAAAGCTTAGCCTCCATTTCTCTCCACTACCCTATCTATCCAGGCAGGTCTGTTCTTTTAATAGCTGTGTGGGACAATACAGTTCCTGAGTTTTTTCAATAGAATTCAGTTCTTCAGTCACACTAGCTTCATTAGCTAGTGGCTTCTGCATTATACAGCATGAATGACAAAAATCCCATTATCACAAAAGGTAATTTTGGAACTTCTATTAGAGAACATCCATGCTAATTTCTTCCACCTTCATCTCTTTTCATCAGATGTTCTCTTCACTTGAGGGTGCCTGAATTTCAAACACTGGATAAGGTCCTTTCAGGAGACAAAGTACACACAGCAGTAACAGCCTAAGGCAGGGGTGGGCAAACTTTTTGACTCGAGGGCCACAATGGGTTCTTAAACTGGACCGGAGGGCTGGAACAAAAGCATGGATGGAGTGTTTGTGTGAACTAATATAAATTCAAAGTAAAAATCATTACATAAAAGGGTACGGTCTTTTTTTTTTAGTTTTAGTTTTATTCATTTCAAATGGGCCGTAGTTTGCCCACGCTGGCCTAAGGGAATCAGGGAAAGTTTCCCAGAGAAAGTTGTGTTTAAGCTGAGTCCTGAATTATGAGGAAGTAGCCAAGTGAAGTGGAGAGGAAGAGCTTTCAAACAGAAAAACTATAGGTGCAAAGGCCTTAAAATGAAAGAGAAGAGCCAGGTGGGTTCTGAAGAGCCATAAGAAATTCAGTCTGACTTAAACTGAGAGTACAAGGAGGGAAGAGGAAAAGAGATGAGGCTGTAGAATTATTTCCTTTGGTTGATTTCTTCGTTTAAGTTCTCTAGCCAACATGCATCCCAATATCTGCAGTTGCTAAAGCTTCATGCTAATGCTAATTCCCTTGGAGGAAAACAATATGAATGTGACAACCAGCCTCCAGAATCATCCTCAGTGATCCTTCACTCCTGGGATTCATGCCATAGGACAGTATGCTCCCACTTTAATCAGAGCTGGCCTGTGTGACCAATAAGAATATGGCAGAAGGGTCCTGGCTGGGTGGCTCAGTTGGTTGGAGCATTATCTGGTACAGCAAAGGGTTTGGGGTTCCATTCCCAGTCAGGGCACATATATAGGTTGCGGGCTTAATCTTCAATCGGGTAGGTACAGGAGGCAACCAATGTTTCTCTCTCACATCAATGTTTTTCACTCTATCCCCCTTCTTCTCTCTATAAAATCAATAACAAAAACATATCTTCCAGTGAGGATTTTTAAAAAAAAGTATGGAAGGAGGGATGGTGTTTGACTTCTGAGGCTAGGTCATAAAAGGCACTGTGGCTTCTGCCTTGAGCTCTCGAATTGTGCATGCCAGAGAAACCCAGCTGCCATGTCATGAGAAAATCAGAGTAGCTCCATGGAAGGTCCCAAGGGAGAACTGAGGCCTTCGATGTGCGTCTTTCAAATCCAGGAAGCCCTTAGGATGACTGTAACTGACATCTGGGCCATGAACTTATAAGGATACAAAAATATATGATTTGCCCTGGCTGATATGGCTCAGCTGGTTGGATGTCATCCTATCAAAAGGTCGCTGGCTGATTCCTGCAGGCCAGGCCGAGGGACCCCCACCTGCTGGAGAAACCCCGCACACTCCGCAGATGCCCTTCGAGCCATGGTGCCGCCCCAGGTGTGGCTGGACAGGGAGGGACCACAGGAGGTTGGCTCCAGGGTGTGTCTGGCCCATCTCGCCTAGTCCCACCCCACCAGCCACCTTCTAATTAATTTCTTTTCAATGTGCATGAATCTGTGCACCAGGTCACTAGTTTCCAAATAAGGTCACGTTCTGAGGAACTCCAACATATTTTTTGGTGGGGACACAGTTCAACTCTTAACACCCCCATTAAACATAGTGCCAAATAGTACTCCCTGCACTCCCGCATTCACCGTGAAGGCAGAATCCCCGTTGTCCAAGTGGTCCAGGGCCTCCAGGCAGCTTTCTTGATTTGGGGCAGTTAGCAGGGCTGCCCACCACCGGGCTCTGCCATCCCAAGTGGGGAAGGCAGGAGGGGAGGAAGAGATTCTGAGCTTTTTATTCATTACTTGGTATGGAAATTCTGAGCCCTTAGTGACATCCAATAATTGTTTCCTCTTGTTTGAGACACTGCTTCCTCTTATTCTCTCACAACAACAAAGCCGCAAGCATGATTTCTCAACAAAGAGCAGCTCAGAGCAGGGATCATGGTCTTCCCAGGCCCCCCTTCTCAGGCCCACAGCCAGGCTCTGGGAAGCCCCACACAGTGGTCAGCACACCTCGCCCAGGAACGATAGGCATTGGTCACAGTCTGAGAATTCTGCCTGTTCCCCGTGAGCAGGGGAATGCATCCCCCACCTGTCAGGGAGTATCAGATCCCATGTTGGAGCTTTTCCTAAGGC